TTAAATCTGGTTTTATAGCTAACTAAACCTCTCATTTGTATGACAGTCGCATAGAATTACATTATATTGATAACAATGTGTGGGCAAAACAAACAGACATTATAGGTTAAAAAAGTCAAAAATTGGGATACAGCAGTCAACATTGTATTATAATCTTTAAAATCACATTAAAACAAATAACTATTTCAACAAAGAAAAAACAAAATGGCATGTAGATACTCTATAGACAAAGTACATATAAAAAGCAAAAATGAAAGACAAGAATACAAAAATGACCATAGCACAATAACACAATGGCGGGATGTAAAAATACCGAGCCATGCCAAAAGTATATTACCAAAATTGGACTATACAGTAAAGGTTAAAAATAAGTTTTTTTTTACTTTCTTGAATTTTACCCAAAAAGTAATAAAATGCTTCGCTGGGGCGCAGCTTGATTCGACCGCAGAGGTCGAACCCTGAACAGTTGGGGCAAGTATGGACACAACATTCAAGCTTGATACAGCTCTGAATTTGGATTGTTATTAAATATTTGACACAGCATAGGTTTCTGACACAGAAAGAATGTGGTCTAAGAACTTGAATTTTTTTAATTTACCTATTATGGTCCAATGTCCAAAATCAAAATACATGGTTAGATTCAGCATATCAAAGAACCCCATATATTCAATTTTTGTTAAAATCAAACAAAGTTTAATTTTGGACCCTAACTTGGACAAACTTGAAAACTGGGCCCATAATAAAAAATCTAAACACATGTTTAGATTCAGCATATCAAAGAACCCCAAGAATTCAATTTTTGCTAAAATCAAACTAAGTTTAATTTTGGACCCTTTGGACCTAAATGTAGACCAATTTAAAAAACGGGACTTAAAATTAAAAATCTAAATACACGGTTAGATTTGGAATATCAAAGAACCCTAATAATTCAATTTTTGATGAAATCAAACAAAGTTTAATTTTGGACCCTTTTGACCTCAATATGAACCAATTTGATAGCGGGGCCCACAAATAAAAAATCTAAATTCATGGTTAGATTCAGCATATCAAAGAACCCAATATATTCAATTTTTGTTGAAATCAAAAAAAGTTTAATTTTGGACCCCAACTTGGACCAACTTGAAAACTGGGCCCATAATCAAAAATCTAAACACATGTTTAGATTCAGCATATCGAAGAACCACAAGAATTCAATTTTTGTTAAAATCAAACTAAGTTTAATTTTGGACCCTTTGGACCTCAATGAAGACCAATTTAAAAAACGGGACCCAAATTAAAAATCTAAAAACACGGTTAGATTTGGCATATCAAAGAACCCCAATAATTCAATTTTTGATGAAATCAAACAAAGTTTAATTTTGGACCTTTTTGACCTCAATATGAACCAATTTGATAGCGGGGCCCACAAATAAAAAATCTAAATACATGGTTAGATTCAGCATATCAAAGAACCTCATATATTCAATTTTTGTTGAAATCAAACAAAGTTTAATTTTGGACCCCAATTTGGACTAACTTGAAAACTGGGCCCATAATCAAAAATCTAAATACATGTTTAGATTCAGCATATCAAAGAACCCCATATATTCAATTTTTGTTGTAATCAAACAAAGTTTAAATACTGGACCCTATCTTGGACCAACTTGAAAACTGGGCCCATAATCAAAAATCTAAACACATGTTTAGATTCAGCATATCAAAGAACCCCAAGAATTCAATTTTTGTTAAAATCAAACTTAGTTTAATTTTGGACCCTTTGGACCTTAATGTAGACCAATTTAAAAAACAGGACCCAAAATTAAAAATCTAAATACACGGTTAGATTTGGAATATCAAAGAACCCCAATAATTCAATTTTAGATGAAATCAAACAAAGTTTAATTTTGGACCCTTTTGACCTTAATATGAACCAATTTGATAACGGGGTCCACAAATAAAAAATCTAAATACATGGTTAGATTCAGCATATCAAAGAACCCCATATATTCAATTTTTGTTGAAATCAAACAAAGTTTAATTTTTGACCCCAATTTGGACCAATTTGAAAACTGGGCCAAAAATCAAAAATCTAAATACATGTTTAGATTCAGCATATCAAAGAACCTCATATATTCAATTTTTGCTAAAATCAAACAAAGTTTAATTTTGGACCCTTTGGACCTTAATGTAGACCAATTTGAAAACTGGACCCAAAATTAAAAATCTAAATACACTGTTAGATTCGGCATAACAAATAAATAAATGTGATCAAAGATTTTACAAATCTAATGCGCCATACTGTGCAATTAAAGATTACTTCTTGAAATTTTTCAATATTTGAAATTTGAAAAAAAAATAATATTTGAAGAATAATTCTTTTTAATTTCTGAAATCTGAAATGAGAAAAAAGACCTCCCACAATTTCTTTTTATCCCTCCCCCCCCTTTTTTCCCCCAAAAAATTCTTTCCCTCAAGATATGGTCATAATCTCAATTCAAATTTCCAATGGAGTTGGCAACCATAATTACCCATTTAAATTTACCATAGTGCTAACTTAATCTATTTTATAATAGAATTAAAAATATAGTATCAAATCTTTCATATGGATTTTTTTGTAAAAAAAAAAAGATGCAACATTTGCAGATATTTTTACTGGTCTTCCTTTATAAATATGCATTTCTTTAAACATAATTTAAAAGCAGTGTAAGGGAAGTAACCAAAACGTTGTATTTGGATTACCTCCCTTACACTGTATGAAATTGTCTTTATTGTTCATTAACCATTACTTTATACATAATTTAAAAGCAGTGTAAGGGAGATAATTTCAATGATGTATTTGATTTATCTCCCTTACACTGCTTTAAATTATGTTTTGTACTAAAGTATTTGTCCATTAACCAGGACAACCTTGTTTTTCCCCCTTTTTTGCCCCTAATTCCTAAACGGTTTGAGCCATAACCCCCCAAAGCAAATCCTAACCATCCCTTTGTGGTATGGAAACTTGTAGTATAATTTCAGAGAGATCCATACACCATTCCACAGTTATTGTCTGGAAACTAGAAAATGCTTATTTTTGGCCCCTAATTCCTTAACTGTTGGTACCATAACCCCCAAAATCAATCCCAACCTTCCTTTTGTGGTATTTAACCTTATGGTCAAATTTCAAAAAGATCCATTCACTTAAACTAAAGTAAGAGTGCGAAAACCAATGTGTCTTCGGACGACGACGCCAACGTCATACCAATATACGACCACAAAATTTTTTTGCGGTCGTATAAAAATGGTAAAAGTCATTATTAGTGTGCAATAACTCCTACAAAGGGTCAACTGATGATGTGGATCATGGTGAATTATTTGTAGATCTGCACAGTCTCGACAGTTTTCAAGAGTAAAGCCAACAATGAAGCTAGAGTCTTAAATGGAATAAAACCGTTAATAAGCTCATTGCTTTCTATGTTAAATTCTATTTCAAGCATTCATAGCTATTTTGTCATTAGTTCAAATAAAGTGACAGTCATTTCATGTCATATTACTATACCTTATCCTGACCTGTAGTGAAAAATTCAACATACCTTTATTTGCAGATTAAAGCCCACTGATTCAAGGAAGTACAAAAACAGGTACTTCTGATCTGAACAATAGGGCAAATATGCCCTCCTATTTTAGTTTCATATTTTTTTTGTTATAATTCATAAGAGACTTTCAACAAGAGTTCTATAGTGATACAAAGTCCTTATAAGCTTCAATTTCATACCACAATTAACCAAATAGTGTACTTATTGACAAGTTTGGTTCTAAGTAGTTGCAGAGAAGATTTGTGTAATAGTTAACAGAAGAAGTTGGGTGACAGCCGTTAAGTAATGAGAATTAACTAGGTCATGTAAACTAAAAAAAGGTCAAAATCTTAATTTTTGGATAGCAGCTCCTATAATTGACATTTTCATCTATGTTAAATTACTTGTAGATCATATTATGCTGATTTGTGTTATCAAAATTTTTTTCAATTTAGTAAGTTTTTGATATAATAGCAATGACAGGAAATCGGTAAAAATCAGTATTTAATGGGCAATATCTTCAAAGGAAGTCATTTGACAATTTTGGCAAAACTGAACAGTATGTTAATCTCATTATTCTGAAGATTTTTGCCCAACCAAATTTTCTGCATCTATAATGGTTTTCAAGATTAAGATAATACATGCATTTTTACCCTATGGCCAATTTTTAAGCTGCTGGGGCCATATTGTTCGGCAGTCAATATCACCAATTTAAAAATGATTGTGGATAGGTTTTGTTGGACTGGCCAAGTAATTCAATAGAATTTTGTAAAATATAACAGATGACAAATGACTGGCACACAGTGCTAGAAGTAGATCACATTGGCTATTATGACCAGGTGACCTAAGAAAGAGATAACTCATTCATACTAGTACTAGTTTTTAGTATGGACTGGTACCCATAAAGAAACAAAATATGACTATCTGACTAGGATCCAATAGACATCTTATAAACTGTCTCCCAGACACTTAAAAAACAAAACAGTTGCATCAACAGTACACAAATGGAAAGAGGGTACAAGACTGGAGTAATGCTCCTATTTGTCATCTTTTTTTCTTCATTTCATCTGAATGGAAAGCTAGTAATTTACAGAAAAAAAAATCATTTTGTATTCTTACATTGATTAATTGGTGTTTAACGCCACTTTCAGCACTATTGTGCTATTCCATGGCAGTCAGTTTATATCGGTGGAGAGAGCGTGAGTGCAGGGGCGAGAACCATAAACCTTTGGTAGGAAAACTGACAATCCTAGTCAATTAAGCACACCTGCCAAGAGTTTCAGATAAGTAAAAATAATCAATGAAAAAATTAATGACAGCAGCAAAATGTAAAAGATGGCAATTGTTATTCATGTCTTCTGAAGTTGCCTTTTCCATCTTGAACAGCATTTTCAATATCTTATAGTCAGCTTTCTACAATGAGTTGGTTATTTCGAATTCATGTATACCATGTAAAGAAAACAATAGTGAAGATATATCTTTTATTGGAAGCCTCATGAGATGAAAACAGGTTTTATATAGAAATAACAAAACAAAAATGGAATGTGAAATATAAACAACGAAATACCTAGTGTAACTAAAATCATATACATTGTAATGCATAAAATAAAACAGTTTGATGAAACAGACAAATTTTGATAGTAAAACTACTAAAATAGGCTATTCATGATAAATTAAAGATAAAATGTTAGAACATGATATAAATATACTCAATCAAGAACAGATATGCAAAATTATTATATAGAAAGATGTTTAAATGAGGTATTGTTAAAAATAAAGGGAGATAACATGTCTTTAACAACAGTTACTTTCCTTGCACTTTAAGGTGAATTTGTTCATTGCTTAACATATAATACAAAGCGTATTAAATTTTTTTATATTCTAGGCTATATAATAGTTCTAACTACTTGAGCAAAAGTCAAGGTATCCACGAAAATTTGGTTTCCTTCTTGGTCTGTATAAACAACCATTTGTTCATACAATGATCTTTTCTGTGGTTGATAAAAACTGAGGGTTGTTATAGTTTATTGGCAATCATTTTAATTTAAAAACAAGCATAAACACTAAAATGCTTCGCCTGCTTTACTGACCATTGATTTTTATGTTGAAAGTCTTAAAGATAAAGGGTTTAACTAAAAGTATCACATAAACTTGTTCATCATATATTTTTCAATGCATTTAATAAATTAATAAATCAAATCTATTAATAATATTTTAATATTCTTATTGGAAAGATTTCATGCGCATCTTGATATCATGTCATCACAATAACTCATAAAATGAATAATATGAATAAAAATAAATATATCTTTAAATAATTAAAAAAAAATAATAGTACACAACCATTTTATAAGTTAGTAAAAGTAGATATAAATTTTTCACACATACTTTCTATGATTATGGATACAAATGAAACATCTGAAAAGACAATCTTTGAAACAAATAATGTTTCCAGTACATGGATATATATAAAGACTGTTATTTCTCTAAAAATTGATACATGTCCCCTCTTTCATCAATTGAATTTCCAACTTGTGGAGCACTCTTAAAAAAAATATTCTATCTATCTGAGATCACTTGATTATCCTTAAATAATCTTTGAAGACACTGTTTTGCAGGGTTAATTACAAATGTAATAAAGTTAGTTAGATACTATAGACATTCCAGAAAACCCTGAAAGTATTTGATGATCTTAATCATTCAAGTGCTTATTGCTACACAGTAATATTACTGAGTTGAAGCATCAAAATCATGAAAAATATCTATAAAAACCTATAACGTACAATCTTACAAAACTGGACATGAATGAAAATTCTTAACAAATCAACTTTCAACAATATAAACATTGCACTTTCAGTGTTAATGATAGGAGCCGCACACAACCTTTCCACAATAAATCTGCATTTAGTTGAATGCAGAAAATAAATGTGAATTGAGAAAGCTGATGGAATAGACCACTTTCTAGTTCCTTGCATTTCCATCAAAAACTTTGATTTTAGTGAACATCATTCGTGCGTTTAGGGCATTGTAACTTCCTTCCCATGTTGAGCGAGCGATTGAAAAAAATATGATGCTATAATGCACAAATTATTCAGCAAATTAAATTCTTATAATTGATAATCAGCACTGCTGTCATTAGGTAATTGTTATTAAGTACCTACGGAATAAACATTATTTCTAGTTTATTCTACATAATGATGATTACGAAGACGCTTTATGAACTTTAATAGTGCAGGGATACAGGATGTCCCCTCTATCGAGTAAATGACGTCATAAAGGCGCACATAATTGACGAACTTTTCCAGTGAAGGACAAAACTCGAAAGTGGTCTATTGAAAGTTTATCTATTTCTAAGATGATTTGACTGTTGTACTAAAATGGGTGATGTTTAAAACTGTTAAAAGCATTTATATTCGTTGTGATTTAGTACACGTGTATCCAAAAATTCAATTTCTGTTATAACTTATAAAAGCAATACTGCAGCACCTTTAAACAATAATTACTATGTACACACTGAATGAAGACAAATAATAATTACAGTTTCAAATAATCACATTAAAGTTCAAATTTTTCCCAAATCTGGCCAAATTTTTGAACATATTTGAACTTCATATTACAATTACAAATGCATTTTAGACTTATATGTTGAGTTATTGTTTCTTTTATATAGCCCAGTGGAGGATCCTGGTTTTTTTCTCTCTCAGTGATTTTACCTCCCCCACAAACACACAGGGTTCTTACTAATGATTTTTGAAGGCGAGTCCAGGGATTCGTCATTTTTGGCTATGGTGAGTTGAACAGTGAGAAGATGAAATTTTATTGCTATATAATTCATTATTTCAGTCCCAGTAAAAAAAATATAGCAAGGAGATGATATCAAGTTATTTTTAAAGTTTTGTTATATATTGATGATATATGTTCTCAGTTGATACAACATTTTACAATCTTAATGCATCTATGGACTCCCCAGTTTTGAAAATGATGAGTCCAGGACTCATGGACTTGTCTTAGTGAGAACCATGCACACATACACACTGGATTCACCACCCTAGCACTTGTTATCTTAATATATAAAACTGAAATATTAATACAAATATGTGTACATGTACTACACAAACATAATTGTAAAGACTGCTCTACTGTTAAATGCTTGTTAACTAAATTAAACTTATTTACATTAATGAAAATATGCAATGATTCTGGAATGTATTTTCAAATATGTCATTGGATCGTTTATTTCCATAAACTTTTAAAATTACAGATAAACCATGAATGACAATGATCAGCAATGCACCTTAAAATAAAATTCACAAGTGTTTCAAAAACAAGTGCAGATTTAACCAAAATATATATTCTCATTCAGATCAAGTTGAGAAATTTGCCAAATCACAAAAAATTTTGTTTGAATCATTATGGACAAAATCAGGGTTAGTTGACACCTCCCAGACCTAATCAAGAATATTGATGCTAACCAAATAAGGTCCATGACTTGTGAAGATGAGGGTAAGAACAGCTGACATGTGATTGGTGGAAACTTCATTGCATAAGTTATTACTGACTGTTTGGGGTTGCTCGGTCTCTACTAAAAGTTGTATGACAATAATCACTTTAGGCACCCCCACCCAACCTCAAGTTTTAATCAAAGTGATTGTAAGCGCTGAAAGTTAAATATTTTGTTCATTTTGCAATATGAACATTAAATTGAATTTCATACTATATTAAGAAATAGAACACATTTAGATAATATTTTTTAATTGGCATAATCTTCCTTTGTCCATAATTGTAGTTGAATCTATTTTTAGAACAGATAGATTTATACACCATACACAACTTATGTAATTTCTTGTCTATTATGGTTATACACATATACAAATTATTTTGAAATCTGAGAACACTTTATTTATAAATTGCTTCACATGGGTGTGGCTACACTGGCTAGTATCCAAAGAAAGTTAAACTCATTGCACTATGAAAGATAGAGATGAGGCCTGGAAAATATAGCTATGAAGCCAATGACAAAGGGTTTTGATTGCATTTCATGCAATTGTTTCCCCCAAAAAATGAAAAGCACTGATCAAAATAATAATCAATAAAATAAGATAATTATATGTTTATACAAAGTTCCAACTGCCGAGTTCTGGATTAGCATATATTTTCGGGGGTTTTATATATGCAAATAATATACATAAATTTTTCAACAGATTACATCTTTACATTTTGAGCTATTAATACTGTCTGATATATATATATGATAGAACAAATGTATTATAAAAAAAAATATAAAAATACTTATTGATATTAAAATTGTTTTCTCCAAATCTGGTTTTGTTCAAGTTGTCATATTTACAAATAATTTATGGTATAAACACAATCAATTAATATTCAGCAACAGTAGGAATCACTTTCACATATTTTCTATCGTATAAGTGCACAATTTCAACAATCATTTTTGACAAAATCACAATTCAAATATGGAACTGGCTTAGGTGAAAATGATATGTATACATGTATATGGTATAATACGCATAACTAATAATATTTCTTATTTATATATTAAACTGTTAAGGGAATTACTGAAAAAAACAGATTTTTAAATAATCTAATCAAGTAACATTTCTATAATTTTTAGATCACCACTAGATGAATAAGTGTCTATAGCTATGTAGAGAAAAAATAACTTCTTGGGGTTAGCTGAAAAAAAGAAGTACTAGAGGAGGAGATTCTTTAGCACAGAATGATCAAATACCACTCATAAATGAGATTTTTAATTCAAGTTCCATAAAATAGTATAGGTTTTCATTTTTTTAAATAAATATGTTTACTTATTTTTATCTATTGTATAATTCATGAAAATTCAAAACATCTTGGAAACAATGTGAGATCAGTGATTTTGAAAAAAATGTGCCATTCATCTAAGTCATCTAAGAGGTTTGAGACTTGAAATGCATATTAGTTTGCAATAATTCTAGATAAAGTGTTATTGAAAATGTGACAAAGTCTCAAGTAATTCCCCTGACTTTATCAATTCAATTAATATTAAGTAAATTTAAAAATACAGGCAAAATATGTCAGTATTTCAAAAGAATCAATAAATTAAGAATACAATAACAAATTTGATATGCAAAAGTACCATTAACAGCCTACACTGTTTAAATTTATATGTAGCTTTACAATGCTGTAACCAGATAAAAAATATAAAAGTTAAAAAAGCACCAAGTACATTTAGTTAATTTTATAAACACTGAGTTTTTGGCTTAGCTTTCAGCTAGAATAGCACTATGTTCGGTGAAAGATAATACTGGTTTATTTTAAACAAATATGCATTTTAAAAAAGGAGCGTATACTTATTATCAAATCACATGCTTTTAAATATGATACATAAAATGTTGAAAAAAATACTATCTAGTTGGGATTATTATTCTACAGATCCAATATATATTTCTTTTCTGATAATTTAATTTCCTTCCAAATTTGTGAAGTTGTAAAAACAATTACTTGGCTGCATTGCTGGTTTCCAGCAGATAGGATTAACCCCTCCTTTAGTTCTCTCTAGGAACAACAATTGAACTTGAAGATGGGGAAGGTTGGTTTGAAAGGTGCAAACAATGCATTGACAAAACCTTCTATCACAAATACAGTACTGATTATAAATGAGTAATCTCCTTTAAACAAGGTCTACGACCTTAATTCTAGCTTTCACCATTATTAAAGTAATATAATTATAACCATATTTAGCCACATAGATATGCAAATGAGAAAATTGTTAGTAAACTTTCTAATAAAAGTTGGAATAAATGATTATTATGAAAAAGAATACAACGAGACATTAATTATGCAAGCTCCCATTTCCACTTTTAGCTTTCCTAATGCCATATAAAAAAGTAATATGATGTAAATGTTATTACCCTTAAAATCTTGCTCTTTGGAAAAAGCATACCGAAAATGTAATTGTTACATTTAACAAACTTATTTTTTCATGCTAATCACACCATTGTATTTTGTGACATGTGACATCTACTGTAGATCCATAACAATATAATAGAACTATGATAAAGGTTGAGTCAATACATCAATTAAACTTTGCTTTCTTTACAATATGTGATAAAATCATATTGAATCAATCTCAACTACCAGTAAACCATGATTTAAAATACCATTGAAAAATTCATCAACTGGTAAACACTCAAACAAAATCTGGATTGCATTCTTGGTCATTCATTCTCATGCTAAGATTGAAAAATGTTCTATCATCTCAGCTTTTTGATGGGTACATGAAGATATGGACAGAGATATTACTATTTTTCCCAGCTCCAGGGTTAGACAGTGTACAACCACCTTTCCAATGATTTCAACTCCGATTTCAACACTGAATGAATGAGAATCGTTGGCAAGAATGCATTACTTGGATATCTCAGGTTTTTGACGTTTCCCCTTATTGAACTTCTGTCCGTGTTAGATTTGTAATGTCCTTAACATGAACTGACAGAACATCAATACATCATTATAAAATCTGAAGGATTGTGGGTAATTTCATTGTTCATAAACAAAAATGAAGATAACGGTAACCCTATACCATTGGTTCGATGTTCTTTGATTAGAAATTAAAACCTTGTTAACCAATCACAATGGGTTAATTTTATGTACTCTTTTGAAAAAATTACCATGAATGCATCAAATTTTGAAACAATCAGATCCTCAATTTTCAATGGCATTTTTAAACCTGGTGTAATATACATTTCATCATTTACAAATATTCATAAAAGCAAATGAATCAAAACTGTGTATTAGAAAATCTTTTGCCATCAGATCCTACTCCACTTCCATTTGAGCGATTTGATGGTGATCTTGGAAGAAAGTCTGGAGGTATGTTACTTTCCAAATAATCATCATCAAATTTCATCACTTTTAATTTTTTCAGATTTGTCTGATGCTGTGCAGTCAGCTTACGATTTACGTCTTCTGGAAGTTTCCAGCTTGTTACACCAGCCTCATTTTGAAAGAATACTCTACCATAAGTGGCAGCATCTTTACTACGATGTACTGTCCAACCCAGCGGTAAATCAGACATGTCTCTTGGAATTCCACAGTCACATCTTTCACTGTCACGTATGACTTTTTTCAGTTCTTCTTTTATACTTTTATCAACGTTTCTCGCTTCAGAATAATATGGGTTTCCGTCACTTTGGGGAATTAGAGGAATTGGTGGCGGAGGACGTTTAGCAATGTCATCAGTTGGTGAAGGTAGAGTAGTTTGAGACGGCAGCCGTGGAAATGATTCACCACTTGGTCCTAATGTCCAGTTAGAATGGAATGACCCATCTTTATTAATACTATTACTCGATGCACCTTTAGGAATTGGTATAGGTCCACTATGGGGGCTATTGCCATGAAAAAGAGGAGTACCCGAACTCACAGAACCTTGATCAGTAAATACAGACATCTGACTACTAAAACTTTCTTGACTTCCTCTCCGTACATGATTTCTTTCAGGCAAAGGCGGTTTCTCATCATTCACGCCTACACATGCTGAACGTCCCCCACCAGAACCCTGACTATTAATTGTGTGGTAAGAACCACCTGAAGACGATCCACTAGGACGATAATTGGCTGGTGTAAGTGGATAAAGAAAACGCACATGGGTGACTTTCTGCAAGTTTTTCACATCATGATCATAGTAGTACCTAATGAGTTCATCCACACTGTCAAACTTCTTTTCTTTTACAAGGTAATACTTTTTTAGAGCACCTGTTCCTTCTATGACAATGTTTGTATGTCTCACTGTTTTATCTGCCACTCTGAAAGGAAATCAAAAATTAAAATTAGTGATTTCCTGCTTGTTTGGTTTTTTTTAGCGTTCAACGCCACTTTCAATGAGAATGAGACTCATCATGAAATGTGTACTTACCCCGAGTAACACGACCGGTTAAAATAATGAAGCAGGATCTCTGCTTACCCTTCTGGAACACCAGAGATCACCCCTATTCTTTTGGTGGGGTTCGTTTTTGCTTAGCTTTCAGGTTCCTTTGTAGTGTTTTGTGAACTTGCTTGCTTTTAGTTTTATTTTTTGCCATGGTATTAATTGTTTTAAGGTTTTGAATGTCCCCTTGGTATCTTTTGCCTCTTTTTTTCCCACCCACTTATCAATCCTTGTCAATTAAGATGGGAGTCACACACACATCTCCACAAGCAGGGTTTGACTTAAACTTCAGTGTTGACATGCCAGTGATTACTGTACATGAACTACTTAAACGACTTAGCCACTAGGTCCCAAGTAATTCTATGTTAAAAGTATTTGATGTGTCCGGTCTCTTTTTAGATGCAGAGTGTTATAATTAACCTTCCCTTGTTATCTATAGAAAACTTATCAACTTGCTAAAACAGGTCTAATTTTTTTCTGTTTGGCCTTATAGAAATTTGAAACCAGGAGATCATCTTAGAAAATGGGGAACCAGGAATTAATTATCCAAGGTACATGTAGATGAACACCTTGAAACAAGACAATTTAAATACTGTTTGTATGTATGTATTAATAGGGAATACCTATATATATATTCATTTCCTTGTAACAATTTTGTTTTGACATACAAAATAGCTTTTTAATGACTATTTATCTATAGTATTTCAAAGTATCAACAATGGATAGGTTTTTTTATCAACCATTTTAAAACAAATAATACATATTATGTTTTCATGTTTGATACTCATAATAAATTGAACATATCTTTCAGATATTGATGTATTGTTTTTTTTTAAATAAATTTAAATATTTGACAAGGGTGCAATCACAATAATCAAAATCTCCCTCTTTAGACAGATATATTATACATGTACTAAAGCAGACACAGGGATCAAATTAAGGATGTTCGCTCCTCTTGTTTTTGAATTTTTGCCACATATTTGGAATCCTCTGGTTTCATCCATGTAGTGCCTATAAAAATTTTGCCCACTAACCCCTACTTTTCTCTCCATAATTCAATTACATATAGTTGAAAATGTCATCTTTGAAAATCTCATAAAATCCTTGTTATTTTTTTATCATTTTTGAAAGAAATAAATGTGGATAGTGTCCACATGTGGACACAGATGATGCCCCCGCTTGAATATCATATAGTTATAAAGGGACATAACTGAAGAACAGTGAAAGTGATGCTACCCAAATTTGAACTTGATCTGAGTTTTGTGGTAATAAGCATTGTGTGTAAGTCTTATAACATTTGGTTGAGGCTAACTTAAGCAGAGAGCAGACACTAAAAATTCAGCAATTTTTCTATTTGTAAACACGCATAACTCTAGAACGGTTGTGTATAAGTTTTATAACATTTGGTTGAGACAAACTAAAAAATTCAGCAATTTTTTGTTTATAAAGGGACATAACTCAAGAATGGTAAAAGTGTCGCCAACAAATTTCGTACTTAATCTGTATTATGTAGTAATAAGCATTGTGTATAAGTTTCATAACATTTGGTTGAGGTAAACTAAAGTAAGAAAACGAAAACAAAAAATTTGTACTTGATCTTAGTTTTGTGGTAATGAATATTGTGTATAGGTTTCATAATGTTTGGTTGGGGCAAACTTAAGTTACAGAATGGAAACTAAATATTTGGAAATCTTTCGATTTACAAAGGGGTATAACTCAATAATGGTTAAAGTGACACTACCCAAATTCAACTTGATCTGTGTTTTATCAGTGAAAGTCAAAATTAAACATTGCATGGAATAAAGCATTGATTGTAGTTGATTCAACTATAATCATGGACAAAGGAAGATCACTCCAATTTTAAAAATTACTTGATATTTAGAAGAAAATAAAAATTTTGCAATTTTTCCATTTATAAAGGGGCATAACTCTAGAACGGTTAAAGTGACACCCCCAAAATTCAAACTTGATCTGTGTTTTGTGGTAATAAGCATTGTGTATGAGTTTCATAACATTTGGTTTAGGCAAACTTAAGTTAGAGAATGGAAACAAAAAATTTTGCAATTTTTACATTTATAAAGGGGCATAACTCTAGAACGGTTAAAGTGACTCCACAAAAATTCAAAATTGATCTGTGTTTTATGGTAATAAGCATTGTGTATAAGTTTCATATCATTTGGTTGAGGCAAACTGAAGTTAGAGAACGGAAACCAATTTTGGGAAGTACGTACGTACGTACAGACGGACAAGGGTAAAACTTAATGCCCCCACCGCTACGGCGGGGGCATAAAAAGGTGCCAATGTTAAATGTATGAAAAATCTAGAGAGAATTATTTCCCGCCAAATTTTCAATGGCTTATATCTCAAAAACAAGCACACTGACCCTTAATTTTTTTCTGCTTTTTTAATTTCTTTATCTATATACTATCAACTTATAACAGTCTTATAAAAAGCTTGTTATTTTGAAATAGAGTAGCGAACATCCTTAAGCAATCTCATATTTTTGTTCATGTTAGTTGTAAAAAATTCAATCTAGCAAATGCAATCATTATAATAAATTCTAATCTAGATGTTATATTCTTCCTGTTTCAATTTACAAAAGTAATGAAAGAAACCTGTGTTAATAAATAAGTAAACTGAACAAGACATGCAACAAGATAATTTACTAAATATATGCTAATTTGAAATCCTGGTATTGAAATATTGAGGAAGATAGGTTGTTTATGATTAAAAACGTTTCTTCCCTATTCATTCATACACACTGTATATAAAGATACAATCATTGGTATGCAAGAAATGAAGTATGTCAATGGGAACTTTAAACTATCGGTTAAATAGTTTCGTTGAATAGATGATCTTTCATAAAATAATGATTTATTTTTTTCAAACATTTAAATAGGAGGAAAATATCTGTTTTAGATTTATATGTGATTATTCTATTCAAATATCAAATATTTGATCCCTTTGTCTAAATTATAGAATGAAGATGTAATGTTTAACTAGTATTCATCTCTGATATGAATCTTTTTTGTCAGGAAAGAGATAACCTTTAAATATTTTACAAACCATTTATTTTATGATGTTATATCCTAGACAACTACCATTCATACAAGGAGATCAATTAAAAGTAGGTCAGTCTTAAATGGCCAGGTTGGACAGTATTTGCCTTAATTAATGGAGAATAATGTACAAGGTAGTTGAAATTATGCTGTGAAGAAGAATTTATTTAGCCTTTAGCCAGATGAAAAACATCAGTTAGAGTGCTGTTACTTTCATATATATATGGTTATTTAAGTTTGCAAGTGTGGAAAATAAGAAAAAATCTACAAACAATTCCAAAATGGAAAAGTTATGTGCACAAACAAATTGCGTTCTTTGTTTAATATTGTAAGGTTGGTAGTTTGTTTAAAATTTTTGTGGAAAAACGACTAGTTCCAAGCATGGGAAATAGAGAAGATCTGCAGGACTTCAATATGTGCAATCTTTTTGTAAGTTTCAAGGATCTTGGTTGAAATCTGTAGGAGGAATTGATTATACAAAATATGTACCTACTCCCCCCCCCCCCCCCCCCCCCCCTCCCCAACTCAACTGCCCAACATCACCAAACTACAAAAATAACTTTTACTTTTACTCAGTCTCATAAGATTTCTCTGTGAAAAATCACCATGGAGAGTGATTTTTAACTGAATCACCTCGAGTGTTCTGTAGCTTCTTTTATCCTGGCAACTCAATAGAAGAGAAAAAGCCACCTAATTTCATTTTTGACAGAGGAAGTTTGAACCTTAGTTCCAACCAAGGTCCTCCAACAAGTACTTTTAAAAGTAGGTATGACGGACATATCATTTCCATCACATGTGAAACAAATATTGATGTATATAGTAAGGACATTTTAATTTACCACCTTGTTGATTTAGTTTAAAGAACTTTTTAGGAAGAAATGAAATACTGGTTAACCTCAAATGAGTTGTCATAAAGGGTGATATCTACCAAAATATTTCTATCTGTTTGGACAAAAAGTTCAGTAAAAGACCAAAATTTTCAACTTTGACCCTACAAATGAACAATCCAATCTGATTCAGGGTATAACATCTAACATTTAGAGGAACATTACTATTATATAACATGTATAAAAGGTAAAGTTAACAGAATCAAAAGTTTTAACATGTATATGACTTGATTGTCTACTAGAGACTGTCCAGAGTAGATATTAAATTTTATCTCCTTGACCTTATAGTTGTTCCCTGCCAACACTGTTGAATAAAACTACACTGTTGAATAAACCTATCAAGTATGACAAAAAAAAAAACATTCACAGATTTCAAGGAGGAAAATAATTTCTTTAACCAGTGGTACCTATTAAATTATACCTTGTCCATCGGATTTCTTATGATTAAGAAATGCCAGGCTTTAGAATATTTATAAAGTGCCTAGAAAATCAACCTAACAATGTTAGAGTAGATTTGATTCTTTACTTCCTCCCCAAGCGGGGCTGGAACCTGTACTTTTCACTTCATACTTCTACGGCAACACCGCCTAGCATTACGCAGACGCCTTATCCCCTCCTCTAACTATAGCTGATAAAAATCAGCTTTCGTTTCGGGAGGTGTTACCTTCTCGTAGGAATTAAACAAGGACATCTAGACGCAATACACAAAGTATTTTAAGTGTACAGAAATGATCATCTACTCATCTCTTTAGTATAATTACAGGATGCTGTTCTATTTTTAGAAGCATACAATCACTGTAAATTTATATATATGTATGTCTGCCTATGTGTAGTGACAACTGTAAATTATACCTTGTCCATCGGATTTCTTATGATTAAGAAATGCCAGGCTTTAGAATATTTATAAAGTGCCTAGAAAATCAACCTAACAATGTTAGAGTAGATTTGATTCTTTACTTCCTCCCCAAGCGGGGCTGGAACCTGTACTTTTCACTTCATACTTCTACGGCAACACCGCCTAGCATTACGCAGACGCCTTATCCCCTCCTCTAACTATAGCTGATAAAAATCAGCTTTCGTTTCGGGAGGTGTTACCTTCTCGTAAGAATTAAACAAGGACATCTAGACGCAATACACAAAGTATTTTAAGTGTACAGAAATGATCATCTACTCATCTCTTATAAATATTCTAAAGCCTGGCATTTCTTAATCATAAGAAATCCGATGGACAAGGTATAATTTACAGTTGTCACTACACATAGGCAGACATACATATATATAAATTTACAGTGATTGTATGCTTCTAAAAATAGAACAGCATCCTGTAATTATACTAAAGAGATGAGTAGATGATCATTTCTGTACACTTAAAATACTTTGTGTATTGCGTCTAGATGTCCTTGTTTAATTCCTACGAGAAGGTAACACCTCCCGAAACGAAAGCTGATTTTTATCAGCTATAGTTAGAGGAGGGGATAAGGCGTCTGCGTAATGCTAGGCGGTGTTGCCGTAGAAGTATGAAGTGAAAAGTACAGGTTCCAGCCCCGCTTGGGGAGGAAGTAAAGAATCAAATCTACTCTAACATTGTTAGGTTGATTTTCTAGGCACTTTATATATATATATATATATATATATATATGAAAATTATCAATGGTCTTCTGCCTTTGGATATTCTTTGTGATTAAACTTGGTTATAAAGCTGGAAATGATTGTAAATTAAAGTAACAGTTATATATTGTTTTCTATTAACTTCTCACCATTAATCTCCACTACAGAGAACCAGTATTTATACCAGTTTACTTCCAAAGAAGGTAAATCAAATCAAATTCTGTTTTAGAAGTGATTTTAGAAAGTACTATAGCAACTAACTTTGTGATATCCTTCATTGGGGGGTCCTTCATTTCTTTATTCTTTTTTATGTAATTTTTCTCTATTATTTACCTGTTGTATCCATTGTTGTCTAATCTTTATACTTTAAAACCCCATTTTTCTCTAATCTTATTTTTTTTTCTTTCTACTTTAAAACCCCATTTTTCTCTTATCTTATTTTTTTTTCTTTCTACTATTTTCTTCTTTTTCCCCCAACCCTTTTATTCTGCACTTTATGCCCATTATTATGTATTTTGTAACACCAACCTCTCCCCCCCCCTTTTGACCCTCTTTACTACAGTAAAGATCATAATAAATACTTTAGAGGTATAGGGGGAAGGTTGAGATCTCAAAAAACATGTTTAACCCCGCCCAATTTTTGCGCCTGTCCCAAGTCAGGAGCCTCTGGCCTTTGTTAGTCTTGTATCATTTTTAATTCTAGTTTCTTGTGTATAATTTGGAGTTTAGTATGACGTCCATTATCACTGAACTAGTATACATATTTGTTTAGGGGCCAGCTGAAGGACGCCTCCGGGTGCGGGAGTTTCTCGCTGCATTGAAGACCCATTGGTGGCCTTCGGCTGTTGTCTGCTCTATGGTCGGGTTGTTGTCTCTTTGACACATTCCTTATTTCCATTCTCAATTTTATTTGCAAAAAAGTTCATTCAAATCGATAAATTTAATGACACAGCAGAGAGTAAGCATGCAGGTCATACATTAGAAATACAATATAACATGTACTTACACAACAGAAACTGTTAGCATAGATCTATTTTTAAAACTTGGTCTGACCAGAAAAACTCCTACTTTAGACTTTGATTTATGGAGCAAGTAGTCTGCAACCTAGAAAACAAACCATGTAAATGTATAGTGATTAAGGTAAAGAATACATGATTAGGCAATATTTTGGATTTTAATGAAATTTTGTTATTTTTTTATACATTTAACACTCAATGAAGTATGAACTACATCAGAAAACCAAGAAAATATATGTTACATAATAATTATATTATCACATTGTACTTCCAGAGATGAATGTACAATCTAATACTGTAAACCAACTTATTTTTGCTGATACTTTATTTTGTGTTTAGCCCATTATAGTCCAATTAGTGGCGATTTAAATTAAAGCTTTTCAAATTTACTTGATGTAGATCATATACAGGTAGTTAAATAAAGAAAAATTCAAGTTTTACATATTCGCTGGTATTAATAGTTGAATTATTTTTCTGCTTGCAAAAATCGCAAAAAAAAATAGATCTGCATTGAATGCACATATAAAGTGCCATAAATATGCATATTTTTCAATGGCAATTTATTGATAACATGACCAAATTTGAGTTTAAAAATGACATGGTATTGCTATGAACATTCCCATTGTGAAAATTGCATTTCAAACTTTATTTTCGTTTCTGTTATTTGATAGGGAGAACAAGGTGTCATAGTGGTAGACCAGTTGGAAATAAATTGCTTTGCCAAGCGCAGCTGGATACGACTGCAGAGGTCAAACCCTGAACAGTTGGGGCAAAAATGGACACAATATTCGTGTTTGATACAGGTCTGAATTTGGATTGAAATTACAGGCTCAGAGGAGTTGCGTTCTCAAGTTGACATTTTTATAGGGTAATAAATTAACTGTTGACACAGAGATATGTCTCACCTCTTGGCAGAAAATTTGAAAAAAAAAAATCTGATGGACAGCAATGTTGCTACAAAATGTAATTCATTCAAAATCGCTGGACCATGACATTAGTGACAGTGCCTTGAAATAGTTGTCAAACTGATATAAAATGATAGTAATGCAACTTTATAGAAAATCTCATTGATCTATCACAAGTAGTTCCTATCAAACTGACTTAAGCAGAAAACTTTTCATAAAAATTGATAATTAATTCTAAGTCACTGGACTATGACCTAGGGTGCAGGGCCCCGAAATAATCATCAAACGAATATGTACTAATAGTAATGCAAATTTATACAAAATATCATTGATCTATCAAAAGTAGTTTATATCAAACTAACTTAAGCAGAAAACTGAACAATTGTTGACGCATATGTCCCACTGACACCTCCAGAAAAGCAATACTTATGTCTCGCCTTCCGCAACTTTTGTCACAGGAAAAATACAAAAATAAAGCCAAAGTTCCAGAACTCAAATAAAAATAGTCAAATCAAAATGACAGTATAATATGGTCAACTACATACATGATATATGATTGCAAACAATCCTATGAGAGTTTTCTGTCAAATGGTGTCAGAGGAGTTGTATTCACAAAGTGTCATTGTGGTTAAAAAGTCTAAAAATGGTCTAAGACCCATCACTCCAGTAACAAGCATTCTGTGAGTATTGCCTGGCAATACATAGTCCCCTACCGGTTAAAAATTCAATTTACTGGAACGAAATTCTAACTTGATCTATAACTTATCATGGTGTAAACTATATAACAAATATCAAGTCAATATCTTCAAGAATGACAAAAAAAAATGTGGAAAATTGATTATTTTTGAGTGATCCAAGAACCATTACTCTGCACAAAATCATCAGAACTGAACAAAATTCGAACTTGATCTGTCACTTGTCATGATACCCATTATCAATCAATATCTTCAAGCATGATGAAAAAAGTGAGGAAAACTGATTATTTGAGTGAATTTTCTAAGTCCAAGGGACCATAACTTCTGCATAAAATCATTAGACCGGAACAAATTCGAATCTGATCTGTAACTTGTCATGATAAAACTATATACCAATCATCAAATCAATATCTTCAAGCATGACAAAAAAAAGTGCGTAAAACTGATTATTTGAGTGAATTTTCTAAGTTCAAGGACCATAACTCTGCACAAAATCGTCAAACCGGAACAAATTTCAAACTTGATCTATAACTTGTCATGATTAAACAATACACCAAATATCAAATCAATATCTTCAAGCACGAAAGAAAAATAAATGTGGAAAACTGATTTGCCCGGACTGACAGATGGATAGACAGACGGACAGAGTGCAAACCAAAAGTTCCCTTGGACTTCGTCAGTAAGGGACTAATAACAAAAAGACCACCATTGCATTTCCATTTCCTTTGGCTTTTAAGGTAGATCTGGTGTCTTTTCGGAGCATCCGCATGTTGCAAAAATACTTTTCTGATTTAAAAATATTTTAAGAAGTATCATTCAATGTACAACAAAACATCTAAAACTTGAAATTTAAAGAGTAAATAATAAAAAAAAAATTAGTGTTGTTATGTGTATTTAAAATTTTCAGAAAAAAATCCAATTACAATCAAGGGCATATAATTATATTGAATTTGATAGAAATTTGTGGTTTTTTTTAATTTTCCAAGAAAATAAGGCTCATGACCCCCTATTTATGTTTGATATTTCGTTAGTATTTATGAAAAGCAATTCTCTCATTGAATTTTAGTCGATAATGTTTCCTCAATAAGGAACCATCAAGTTTCCAAAATATAAGGTAAAAAATATATCTGTTTACAGTTACCTGACCGACCCTAATTTGAGCTCCTACCCGAAGTAATTTTATTTCCGCCATAAAGTGAAAAATAAACTGGACTGAAAAAAATAAAATGGAAATACCGACCTACCTACCCCCTTTTTTAATGATGTAACATTAAACAGACATATATATTTTTTTGGCCTAACCTATATAAAATGACTGATTTCTTTAATTTAAATGTATTTTATAGAGAAAATAAAGTCCTTGACCCCAGTTTTTATGTTGAAATCTTAAATATGTAAGCCCAGAAGTCTTTTAAAAAAGTTTAATAAAAATCTATCGTCAAACATTTAGACACACCAGCTACCTTAACAGGCAAAATTAAAATCTCCAATAAGTTCTATATTAAAAATGATTCATACCTCATCTGTATTGCTGAAATTGCTATAAAAGTAAGGAAGTTCTCTGCTTTCAATTGAGACAAGGCTACCATTGCTTGCCTCTGATGCAGGTAGCGGGCCGTTTGGAGTCTTCCCTCGTGGCATTTTTGTAGATATTCATTTATACAGTTATGCTTAATCTAAATTCTGCAAAACAGAGCATAAAATCATTTGCAGTTTATATTATAATTAAGATAAGTATCTTTTTTTAAGTTGCATGATCCTTCAATTTAAAAAAGAATATGTTCTTTTTTTATACTTGAATGGCTTTACTATAAAACATGTGTACATAGACTTTCTTTAAAAATAAAATCTTATCATCCAAATCTTCAGAAATGGATTACTATTGAATTGTTGTCATCCTGTACCCTTATTCACCAACTCTTTTTTCATATGCAGTGACTTTTACCATGACGTCTCTTTAGAAATTAGTCTATATTAATTGCATAGCACAAGTGTGAAGGGAAAAACTGTAATGAAAAAGAAATTTAACAAACCCGGAAGGAAGTTAGTATAAATTGATTTTGAAAGAAAATTTATAATCCACCAAAACATTTAAGAACTGTTATGACAAAGTTTCCTCAAACTTATGTGAAAATTGGTTATCAAGCTCACCAGAGCTCATGTTTTGATCCCCTCTTACAATGTAGACCAAAACAAATATGCTGACTTGAAATGAAATGGTATTTACGAGAAAACTTGTATAGAAGATTTTTGTGACTGGTTGACAATGCAAAAAAGAAATATTTTCTCTGTCCATCTAACAAAACAGGTAGAAAGCATAGGTTCCATTATAAAACTAATGTTAATACTTTAAAGGAAAATTCGATAGTCTATTTGCCAATTCCCTAATTGACCCTGTAATCACCTAGTTTCAATGACACTGAATGGTTAGCAGAAAGTGCAAATTAATTTGAGTGTACAGAAATGTGTGTAATCTTAAATTTTTTCAAATCTTTATATTACGTTTAATCTTTTGTTACTGGTCCAGTACCAATTACTGTCAGAAATTCACAGTTTTTCTAAATTATTTTTTAACAGTAATTCCTTTAGGACATACTTTTGTAACATATAACTGGCTACCAAAAGTTAGTTCTAGCACCATATATAGATATAAGAAGGTGTGGTATGAGTGCCAATGAGACAACTCTCCATCCAAGTCACAATTTGTAAAAGTAACCCATTACATGTATAGGTCAAAGAACTTCAAATCCTCTTACAACTACAGGTAATGTAAAGCGGGGTATTTGAGAGACAATTTTTGCAAGTATATATGAGGACCAATTACTGTCACTTCAGAATCTAGCTACTAAACTATAAAAAATTTCACTTACTCTAAACATTAGTTTCATATTTTGATATTCTATGGTAAGAAAAGAAGGTTGACTGTCAAATGAACCAAACATGAAGTCCTTCTGTCCAAAATTCTGAAGCTTTTCTTCCCTTGCTAATGTTAACTGATCACAAATTTATGTTACTTGAAATCAACAAATAACACTGTATTCAATAGGAGCAAAAAAGTTAATTTTCAAATTAAAATCCTTTTTTTAATTCTCATGAAAGAAATTTTTGTTCTAAAGTAAGCTTTGATATTACTTCGTCTGAAAATGGTAAGTTCTCTAAAATGGAAAATGTAATAAAGTGATGAAGCCATGCCCCCGCATCTGTATCTTCCCACAGTGTGTTAAAAACTTAGCATTTTCTTGTCTTAATCTGATCAAACAAAACATATTTTGTAAAAATTAAATGAAAGTTATTGTGTGCAGATAACAGCAGTCAGTGCCGTATTTACAAAATGTGTCTGTTATTGCATGAAATACAACATGTACAAGGTGATGATGATTAGAAACTGACGACAACTGGTTCTCGACCAGTAAGGTTAAAACTTTTTGAAATGAAAATTAATATTTCATCAAAAGTTGGTTAATACGCATATCACTTTCATCCTATCATAGTGGCATTGGCAGCTGAGCCCATTTTCCCTGGTTAAACACCAGTCTACCATTGGCAAATAGAAACAACTAGCGTTAAGTGTTTAAAAACAGAATCAAATTGGTAATTGGCAAATAGACTATTATAAACTATATATATATACATGTAATTGTAAGTTTATTTAATTATAGATGCTTTCTTCTGGTCATTTCCACATGTTTGTTATACTATGTTTGTTTATTTTGTCACATGTGTATAAGTTGTGACAACACAGTTTAGAATTCAAATGAATAGGTGTTGCATGCAAAGAGTGACAATATAATATTTATGGTTGAGCTGCATCAAATAATACATTTATATAACATGTTTCTTATTAAAATAAAAAATATATATTTCCAAAGCCTGTTATATAAAAACTGAAGGCAAGAATATCACAGTATTATACTTACACTTTTTCTTAGCCGTTTTCAAGGATAATAATATTATTAAAATTTTAAGGAATAACCTCAAAGGAAAGGGATTTTCCAAAATTAATCAATACATTATCTTACAATAACAAACAAGGTAGAACTTCGTTACAATACATGTAGTGGACAATTTCCCGTTTATTTAGACCCAGATGTCTTTTTAAACGAAAATATACAATCATCTCTTTTCAAATGTCTATATTTACTGCAATGTACTGTCTTATATTACCATGTTTTCTTACAAACTTGCTGATAATTTCCATCAACAACAGGTCAACGAAAGCAACCAACCCGGAAGTTTATAAATAATACGCATGACAAGCGGATGTTCGGAATGTCTCGAAATAACCAGTTTTACAGTTATATATCGTTGAAACATACTTAACGGTTAGTGTCGATATTTTTTTCGTGGATCTCAGCTGAGACATTGCCACAATCACCTGAATTTCTAACAATCAATGTTTTTTTGTACAGAAGATATTCATCATATATGACCCAATGCTAAAATATATTTACTGTGACCAGAAATCCATTACAAATCCCAAGGAAATGTATATTTAGAATTAAATATACAATTCCTTGCAAATCCTAATAATGAAAAACCTTGAAGTTTTTTGGTCTATGTTGGATAGTTGTCTCATTGGCAATCGTGCCGCATCTTCTTAGTTTTTTTTTTATTCTGATATCATATATACGGTATTTTACCATTTTTTTGTATCATTCATTGCTAGAAATTCAAGTGACTGTGACATTCAACGTACGATTATTTCAAATTCTTAAAAACATTGCACAGATCCAAATAAAAAAAGAACAAATACTGGTCAATACTGTTACTTAATTATGAATTAAGTGTATACGTGTTTAACAAGTGAAATGAAAATAGATTATAACTGGGACATGATAAATTGAAATAATACTATCCCCAGATTATAAGCAGTCTGATTAAAATCGTACCTCTCACTGACTATGTTTATTTATATGTTGCGTGACATATCAGAAAACGGCAGCGATGGGAGCTTTGATTTTAATCCGGGACTGGATTATTATGACGTCTCCCTTGAGGACGTCAAAGAAAGCACCGTGACAGCGGACGTCAAGGAGAACACTCACCGGACGTCAATCATTTATACTCAATAACCCTTAAATACCAATGTTCACAATAAAAAATGTGTGTCGTTTGCCTATAGCATTTGAAGGATTGTGTCACGGCACCTTAATGATTGTGTCATGACACCTAAATGATTGTGTCATGGCACCTAAATGATTGTGTAATGGCAGCTAATGATTGTGTCATTGCACCTAAATTATTATGTAATGGCAGTTAATGATTGTGTCATTGCACCTAAATTATTATGTAATGGCAGCCAATGATTGTGTCATGGCACCTAAATTATGGCATATCTGTATCGATGCAACAGAATTTCAGAAAAGTGTCGGTTCAGAAAATTTAACCATCCAAACTAGTTTTTAGCCCCTTACTCGTGGCTTCGTCCTTGGTAGTCTGGCTTCCTGACCAAACCTCCTCTTTGTTGTCATGCAGTTAGCCAGGATCCAAGGCTACATCTTTTCAAGTCTGATCCGTGGAATAACGAAGGAAAAATTATTTGATTAATTGGTTACTTTTATTTTTATTTTTTTTTGGGGGGGGGGGGGGGGTCCCTGGGGTAAGAACCCCCTTTTTTACGATCAATGCTTTTGAATGGGGGCATATGGTTGGAACCCCCTTTATTCTGGGTTGGGAACCCCCTTTAGTCTAGGTTGGGAACCCCCTTTTAAAAATCTGGATCCATCCCTGATGTAAAATTGATAACCTTTTAAATGCTTAATTTACATGGATCGTATCTAAATTTAAAAGCGTATATACGTATAATAACATGACTCTTACATGAGGGTCTGGATGGGGTCCTTCATTTCCGTATGCTTTAATTTTTTAGGTCAGATAAAAATAAAAAGGAGACGATTCTGTTTTTGAACTGATGAGTGGGACATAAAAAAGTAGTTACAAAAATACAAAACTCCAAGGTAAATTTAAAAAGAGAGAAGTCCAACAAACCTGATAAAATCAAACGCACGACACTATCAATCAACGGAACGAATGGAAAACAACTGCCATATTCCTGACTTGGTACAGGAATTTTCCAAAGAAAATGGTGGGTTAAACCTGGTTTGATAGCCAAACAAACCTCTTGCTTGTATTACACACAGTTGTTTATAATTCGCGTTATATTGACAAAATTGAGTGAGCAAAATTAAGCCTTTTGTAGCAGGGACCATTTTTTCAAAATTCTCCAAACTGAGTCGGTTACGTTCACGACGCATGTCATACTCCACACAGGTTGTCCATTATGGCCCACGCCTGTGACCAGTTTTTCCGTATTATAATCTGACTAACCTCAAGACAAGGGCACCCCTATATGCCACCGAATGATGTACTGCATGACTGCTCTAATCGTAGAGCTACAGGTCGAGGCTAGATTTTTATCCAGTCATTTGAAAAAACTGTTCTGACATATCGAAGTAGCTATAGCATATTATCAGACTAAATATAATAGAAAGACCACGGGTCAGAATAAAATACCAATTGTTACGCCTACATAGGTATTTGAAATTTTTGTTTAACTCTGACAAAGATTCTTAAATTTGGGTGCCATGCAATAAAGTTTACACTCTCAATTTCCAAAAATTTTCTTCTATTATATATACCGGCATAGGCAGTTTATGATATCTGTCGGAGATTTTGGAGTTAAATTCAGCTTAATGCAAGTTTTCATGCTTATTTAGGACGCGCCGAAAATACCAATTAATGCAATAGGCAGGTTTTGCAAAGTGCACGGTTCGACTGTGTCATAGTAAACTTAGATGAAATTGAGAATTTCGAATCCAACAGGAAAATGATCTGATTTAAATTAAACACTTGACGAGTCAAGTCAATCATTCTTAAGTTCCGTTTCAAAGATTGTGTGTTGTTGTCCCTGCAAACAAAACCATGATGCCTTATTGACATTATCTGCATTTGAAATACACATGAAATACGTCGTCTGTATTTGTTATTCAAGTGATTAAGGAATAACTTAAGGTTCTGATTACTAGTTTGGCAGCTCGACATACATCCAATACAAATATAGAGAAGATATGCCGATGACAGTCGAAATGCCATACGTCCAGTTGTCAACAAAAACACGAGGGAAAACAATATTGCATAAAGAAACTAAACAACTCAGGTACCGCCTATATCATATCAGAGACATATAATACAATTGTATTATATATGTCTCTGATCATATACAGTAGATAGCCAGTGGCGGATCCAGAAATTTTCATAAGAGGGGGCCCACTGACTGCTTAAAAGGAGGCCCGCTCCAGTCATGCTTCAGTGATTCCCTATATAATCAACCTTTTTTTTTCCACAAAAGGGGGGGGGGGGGGGGCGGGCCCCCTGAAAAACCCTCTAAATCCGCCTCTGATAGCAAGTTCATGTCAAAAACATTGAGAAACATTACAAAAACGGCAATTATGTTGATAGTAATGGACTTCTCGTTTAGTTGATATAATGTATGAAGGATTTAAATGAAATATTGATTGATTGATTGATTATTTGGTGTTTTACGCCACTTTCGGTATTTCGATGCGGTCAGTTTTATTGTAGGAGATAACCAACGACCAGCTTCGGCAGGAAAATTAACAATCCAGGTAAATTAAGATTGTAGTCGAATGCACCTTACACGTGCAGGGTTCGAACGTACAACATCAGTGTTGACAGACTAGTGAAACAGCAGATAAACTGTTGGCCACCACGCAAGACCCCTAATGATAATAAATACCATAGCTACATAGTACAAAATGTATTATATGTCTCTGCAAACACTATAAAAAAATCCTTAAATACTTGAAGATCAACGACAGTGTTAAAAATGTCCGTCTTGAAAGTTGAGACCGACTGTGACGGTCAACAAGTTCTTAATTGCAAAAAAATACCGTGAATTGATGCTAAATCAATTTGGTCTAGTTATTTTTCCATAACGTAAAAATGTTGCAAGAGAGTCAAGAAACCTAATAAAAAACTAAAAAAACTTTACCCTCAGAATAACATATTTGTACCGAAGCAATATGAGTTTGGAATTTGAAAACTGAATATTATTCTAACCCAACTTCGATGTTTTGCATCATCCTTAAATTATGATCTATATAGGGTCAATATTATTTCTGACCCTTCATGCCGCTGTGGTGTTAATCGTGAAGATTCCTATCATTTCTTTTTTAAATGTATATTATATTCAGACATACGAAATAAAATGTTTGAAAGTCTGCGTTGGTTTCCAAAAGATTGTAAAATTAACATAGAACTACTAACCTCGGGTAGTTATCTACTTTCTCTAGAGCAAAACCAAACCATTTTCAAAAATGTCTTCGAGTTTATTAAAAGTTCGGAAAGATTTCTAATTGTCTAGATAGCAAACCATGATCGCACACACATCATCGTCTAAGTAAAAGTCTTCCCTTTTTTTTTTTTTGTATTTTTGTTTAATTTGTATTTTATTTATTTTTTTTTTTTTTTTCTAAATATTCATTTATTTATTTTTATATTTATTTTTTTCTGTATTATTGTTTTCTTTCTGTCTTCACTTTTCTTTCTTTTGACATAAATCCATATATATTATTTAATAAATAGATATACCATTCTATACATGCATGCTCATACATATATTTTGTATTATATAATTGCTATAAATGTTAAATGGAGAAGACTTCATAAGTCTGTTTGACTTGTGTCTTGTCATTTCGTACAATCAGATTGTTTCACTTTTCCCAGAACCGACCTGGTTTTTATACGTTCATTTGTATCCTTGCTCGAAGACCGTACTGTAGCGATCGGCTGCAGCTGCAAGGTGCGTGTTAATCATTGAAGAATTGCATTTATTTGTAAGTTTACAGGTATTTTACTAACCTAAATTATTTATGGTTTCAACCAAAGGAACTCTACTATATAATGTCAAAGTCTTACATGCCTATGTACACATCTAAAGTACACTAAATGTGGTTAGAGGCCTAGCTAGGGTCATTGAGAACTAGTGAATGCATATATGACATGTGCAATGGGTTAAAGTAGTGCATCGTTACAAGTAGTACCGGTTGCATTTCTTATATGGGAATGTAATAAAAAAAAATCATCGTTAGTCCATGCTATTTGAGGCCATAAACACTCTACTATTTAATACACATGTGTCAAGTATAAATAGTAGTCAGCAGCATTAAGTCTGAATGGTGTGGATATCTTTTCATCTTTACATGTTTTCTGCTGACTGTTAGCTTGTTATCTAGCAATTAAAAATAAAACTCCCCATGTCAGTCTAGTACACAGCAGGGTATATTCATATTTCATTTTAGTAAACATGTAATTGTTCTGAATGTACATGTTATATTTACCACTGGACATAAAGTAGCCATCATTCAATTAAGAGAGGCGGACATAAAGGGGGGAGGGGACAGGGTGCCCATGTGCCCCCTTATGGAGCTACATTTATGGCTTGTTAATACTTTTTTCCTGTTTCACTCCAAACTTTGCCTAGTTTGGGCCCCCTTTTTAAAATCCTGCGGCTCTTTTCACAAAAAATCTTAAGAGTAAAAATACACATTTCAGTATAACTTACGATCAATTTTAATCATAAAATTTTTTGTGAAATGACTCGCTGGATCCGCATCTGCTTAATCATTACTTATTCATAAAAATTGAAAAAGATTGGACAAATTTTGTTCATATTTTTGTATTTGTTGTCTTTGAACATGTTGAAGAAGAATCGATTATTATCAGATATGACAGTCAAAACTACAAATAAGGACATTCTGACAACAAATCATACATTTGCTAAAATGATAAATGTCTATTCAATATGCCATTCTTCTGGTGAAAAAAAATAGTTATATATTACATGAAGTACTACATTAACAATGATTTTTTACAAACCATAAAAAGTAATGATTTTATACAAGCCATAAAAAGTAATTATAAGAATCAACAATATGCTGTTTAATATCTGACTAAAGGGAGCTACCATTTGATTTTTATGGGGCTAAGATGAAATTTGAAAAAAAGGCAGGACAGGAGTTTTGAGTAATAAAAAAAAGGCAGGATGAGCAACTTGGCAAAAGAAAAAAGGCTGGATGACAATTTATGTAAACAAAGTTAAGATAAACATATAAAAAAAAAGGCAGGACTGAATAGAGTGAGAAATAAAAAAGCAGGACAGAGATTACAACTAAAAAAAAATGCAGGACAAAATTTTTCATCCTAGCCCCCCCCCCCCCCCATAAAAATCAAATGGTAGGGCCCATAATATTGTATTCATTAAATGATGTTGCAATGATATTTTCATACAAAACATTTGTAGAATATATGTGTTCAAACAGGAACGGATATTATTGCCTTGTTCATAACAAAGTTTTTAGGGGAACTTCTGTTAGGCAGAACAAATATAGGTTGACAGTTACTACCACACCTTATGCGTTTTCTTCTGGTTGGTGTCCTGTTGACCTTATTTATTTTATGAATAAATTGATGTTGGGGAAACCCCTGTGTTACTATTGACTGAGTGTGAGCATTTTTCATCTAATTGATTGATTGGCTTCGGCTGAATATTCTCTCTTTTCAATAATGAACTGAACTACTGCTGTTATTAGAAAAAGGACTTACAGTAAGCATGGCAAGGGTAAAATGAATAAAAATTAATAAAACATGAGAATAATCTTGCTATAAGCTAAATTGTTGCCAACCTTGGTCTTCTCTGCTATTGAGACTGAAAAGTGTGTGGGGAGGGTAGGCTATGTACCAAGTCTGCTTGGGGCATTGTTGTATAAAATTTGAGAATGATCAAGATATTAGGGAGCCACCATTTGATTTTTATGGGGGGCTAGGATGAAAAATTGTGTCCTGCATTTTTTTTAGTTGTAATCTCATTCCTGCCTTTTTATTTATTAGTTTATCCTGACTTTTTATACATAATTTGTCATCCTGCCTTTTTTTTTATTCAAAACTTCTGTCCTGCCTTTTTTTTTCAAATTTCATCCTTGCCCCCCCATAAAAATCAAATGGTAGCTCCCTTACTTTCATGATTATTCATGTAAAAAGAATTTCTTGAGTCAAAGAGTTATTCATAGCAGCAAAATAATCAATACACACTTCTTAGAAACTAAAGGTAAATTGTCTGAAGGAGGTTAAGAATATACTTTTTTATGCCCCCCACCGTAGCGGAGGGGGCATTAAGTTTTACCCTTGTCCGTCGGTACGTACATCCTTACGTCCCAAAGTTGGTTTCCCTTCTCTAACTTTAGTTTGCTTCAACCAAATGTTATGAAACTTATACAAAATGCTTATTACCACAAAACACAGATCAAGTTTGAATTTTGGTGGCGTCACTTTTAACTGTTCTAGAGTTATGCCCCTTTACAAATGGAAAAATTGCTGAATTTTTTGTTTCCATTCTCTAACTTTATTTTGCCTCAACCAAATGTTATGAAACTTATACAAATTGCTTATTACCACAAAACACAGATCAAGTTTGAATTTTGGTGGGGTCACTTTAACTGTTCTAGAGTTATGCCCCTTTTCAAATGGAAAATTTGCTGAATTTTTCGTTTCCGTTCTCTAACTTTAGTTTGCCTCAACCAAATGTTATGAAACTTATACACAATACTTATTACCACAAAATACAGATCAAGTTTGAATTTTGGTGGTGTCACTTTAACTGTTCTAGAGTTATGCCCCTTTACAAATGGAAAAATTGCTGAATTTTTCGTTTTTGTTCTCTTACTTAAGTTTGCCTCAACCAAATGTTATGAAACTTCTACACAATGCTTATTACCACAAAATATAAATCAAGATGGAATTTTGGTGGTATCACTTTTACTGTTCTAGAGTGATTCCCCTTTACAAATGGGAAAATTGCTGAATTTTTCGTTTCTGTTCTCTAACTTAAGTTTGCCTCAAGCAAACGTTATGAAACTTATACACAATACTTATTACCACAAAATTCAGATCAAGTACAAATTTGGGTAGTGTCACTTTTACCGTTCTTTGGTTATCTCCCTTTATTACTTTATATGATATGCAAGCGAGGGCATCATCTGTGTCCCATGGACACTTTCCCCATTTATTTTATTATATTCATATGAGACTTAAACAAGTTATGTTGATACCTTTCAAAGGAGTAGGTCCGGTAGGGGCTGATTTTTGCCTCAAAATTCAGGTTCATCTGATGAAAGATTTTGGACACTTTTTAAACCCTTAAGTGTCTACTTCAGTCGATTCAATTAGTTTTTGTGAAAGATTTGAACTGATTTAGTCATTAAAGACGCTCAAATTCAAGCTTAAATATGAAAAATCTATCAAATATGCCATAATATGTCATTTTTCAGATGGTTTTTGTCAAAAATGAAAGTGGCCGCATCCGTGTTCATTCTCAACCTTTATATATGTTATGTATTATCAAGAAATACAACTTACATTTAAATATTAAGAATGAAAAAAAATGCGGCCACTTCCATTTCAGAAGACCCCTCTACTGGGCCTACTCCTTTGAATTTGATATGTTATTGACATTTGTGTTTTTAGAAGTATTAGACTGTAATTAATTGGGGTGTACATTTAGTAATCAAATAGGATTCATAAGCTTTAATTCTTAGATGAAAGTGACCATTCTGAACATTAAGTGTGTCCACATGACAGGGTGTTCATCTGAAACTCCTTGAAAAAGGTTTTAATAGAAGTCCACCAAAGTTGCATATTCAATATGTATCAGTTCTGCACTTGCTATTTTAATTTTTGATATAAGTGATTTTTTGGAAGCAAATGTATCAGGAGGTATGCGCTGCATCCAACAAGGTTACCATTGTACAACATAGTTCGTAACATGAATGGTAATTTTCCTTTGCTCTCTGAGTGAGTTAATTCTGTTATTTTTAGCGGAGTGCAGTAACTGAATATATTTTTAGTTTGAGCATTCTCAAATCCCGCCATTGTCAAATTCTCATAGGAATAGCAAAGAATGGGAGGACATTAAACCAGTGCTCTAAGTTGTTAATGCACTGTCTGGCTCCGCCTCCTTGGACTAGTAAATAATGAAAGAATAAAACAAAATGTAATAAAACTACCATAAATTTTTCTACTGTCATTTTGGTTGGATACCTGTTTTTCTTTATTGTGTCTGAATTAATATTCCAAAAATATATGTCAGTGCATTTTTAGTCATTTTGTCCATTTTACAAAGGTCTTTCTCCGTGAATTGAGCATGCAATCAACCACCAATCAATTAACCGATCTTTTTCAGTTGTTGGGAATTGATGATACTAAGTAGTATATTCAAAATTGTTATAAAAAATGTTTCCTTCTTAGCACAATGTTTAACTCCTTTGAAACTACATGTTCAGATAAACACAGAATAAAATTTTGCATCTACCCCCTTCTCTAGAATTTTCGGGGTGAAAAACCTATACAATATGTTACACATATATGACTCTCAGGTCTGTAAACTTCTGTGTAAGTTCCACGGCAAAACTTCATTTGCATGTACCTGCATCTGAAATACAAATCCTACAGACATCTGCTGCATGGGTTACCTTTCTGAAAATGAGAGAAAATAATCACAGCACTATTTGATTCAACATGTTCAAGACATATTTAATTCAAAAACAGCACAATAAAGTTTTAACCTTTTACATGTGTTATCGCCTTTGTGCTTTATATATATATATAACTTATCATAGGTTGTTTTTGGTGAAAACCTTTTAAAAAGATTCTGGAAACAACTTGGGTAATTGGAATATACTTGGCATTACTCACATTTATTTAGTTCACTTGCCAAAAAAAAATCCCAATGATTCAACCAACACCGCTGCTTTTGATAAAACAAAAATGGAAAAAAGAAGGG